ATAATTCCGTATGCAAATACTAATAAAATCCTGTCGGCAATGTAAGCCGCCTTAAACAATAAAAAAAAAAAAAAAAAAAACAAATACATCGATCCTTAATTTAAATATCTAAATATTAAAATCTAAAAAAATTTTATAGATAATTATAATACCGATGATGATAAAACAATAGAAATTTTAATTAATCAAAAACAAAAAAATTTTTATTCAACCTGTTCAGTAATGATATTAAATTCATCAACTATAATATTAGAAATGTATAATAGACCAAGTACTTGAAGATTATGGAATCTTATTAGAAATTGAGAAATAAATTTAACATGTATTAAAGAAGTTAGTGATAATCCTAGAAAACTTGGTATTTGTGAATTTCACTTTAATTTAGATCAAACTCCTGATCTTCATCCAACTGAATTAAAACAAAATACTAAACCTACTTCTGCTTTAATATCTTATAAACAATATCTTTATTGCAATTATAATTTTTATATATTTACAAGAGGAACAAATTGTAAAGCTCATACCTGGTATATAATTAGCAAAGATATTATGTTACTATATATTACTTTATATATATACAATACTTTAATAACTCATGAATCAATAGTATGTGAAAAGTTAAGTAATAAAAAAATTATTATTATTCATGTTATATTTGTCAATCTTGTTTTGCAAAAAATAGAGGACATATTTATATATCTTCAAGACAAGAGAAAAAAAGAGCTGATTGTATTAATGCTCACAAAGATGAGAATAAAATAGGATTGTGCACTATTAGAAATTGGATACTAAATGTCAGATTATCATCTGATGAAGATTTAAAACAAAATTACTTTCTAAATTATTATATTCATTAATGATTTATAGAAAGAATGATCACTTAAACAATTCAAATTAGTTTTATATAAAAGACTTGAGTTCTAAGTTTATACTAATTGTTATAAATCTTCCAAGTATTTTTATAATTAATATATATTTAAAACTTGGAAAAGCTAATAAATTAATACAACAAAAATATGAAAAAATACTTCTTGATAATTCATTTGAATTTGGACAAAATCTAGACTAGCAACTTCTTTCAAGTAATAAAACTATTAATACAAATAAAAAAAAACTCAAATCTCTATCATTATTAATAGAATACTATAATATATTACCTAAAATTATTATAAATTTTTTTTATAGATTAGTTAAAATTTTGTTAAATCATCAATATAAAGTTGCAGAAAAACAAAGAAAAAGAAGAATATTACCAAAATCTAAATCTATAGAATATAGTCAAAAATCAGATTCAATAAATTTAATCTATATTGTTAGTTTTTTAACTTCTATTATTTTAACAATTGCATTTAAAGGTAAAAAATTTTGAATAACTTATTTAATAGCAAGTATTTGTAGACATCCTAAATTTTTGTCATTTTTACAAACAATATTACAAACTGTTCATGTTATTGCTCATATACAAAGATATAAATATCACTTAGAACATCAATGAATGAGCTCAATTATACCAAGTAAAAACATACTTTTTGGATTACATATTTGGAATTTAGCTACAATTGATAATATAGATTTTATACAAAATTCTTTTAGATATAGTAATATATTTAATATACCTCATAAAACAGTTCATGCTATATTGCAAATAGTTTTTCAATATATAATGCCTATACTAGCTTATGAAATTAGAGAAATATATACTATTATATTATTAAATATTAATAGACATTTATTTGATTATATATCTTATTCAACTGAATTATTAGATATTTTTAACTTTGCTTTTAAATCATTATTTAATTGCTCTAGAATTTTAAATTTTTCATTTAACAAAATTTTTTTTTTTTTTTTTTTTTTTTTTTTTTATTGGTCCAACAAGGTCTCGATACCAGTTAATTTTTATTAAATAGTTTGTAGGTTTACATTAGTTAGTGAGAGTACAATTGGTTATACATACAACTTTAATCATTGTCTATTTAAAGGTTCTGCCTGGAGGTTATCTACTAATTGCTATACCTAGTATCCATTTGTAGATACTCTATTTAAACCCTCTAGTATCTCTGTCATCTCTAACATTTATTCAATTTTATTCTTAAACCTATACAATCTTGTATTACCTCAATGAGAACTATTCAGACTGACTTTGCGCTTCAGTTTTCCTTATTAACAGAGCCCTATCTCAAGGTACTTTTTTTATCCTTATCAGGAGGGGTCTGCAAAATACCTTAACTATGCTGTACTATATTCTAATTAAGCTAGCATATACCCTTATAGATATTTATACAAACCTAGTTCCTATCATAGCTCTCTACCAAATTAGTCTTCTATATATTCTGAAGTTTCACAAGTTAGATCCTCCCAAATCTAGTTAGCTGCTAAGCCAAGTTGGTGTTGCTGCTAATACAAGGCACTAGGCTGCATTACATAATAGACTTACTTGCACTTGCTCAATCTGCAACCTTCATATATAGACTTCTTTTCTGAATCAAGCATTAACTAGTGTAACTGTTGAAATCTGTACTACTTCATCTAATTCAGTATTTCTACCATGCAGGTCCCCTACTCATAGATCTTATCAAGATTTATTCATGCAATATAACTTGAATATTGCATTACACTTCTAATATCCGATTAATATTGATGCAATATGATTTACAGAATTACAACCTCCAGAAACAAACAGGGTTTACTATAAGTTGAATACAAAGGTCTAGGTAATTATTCAAATTTGTCGACAGTGGAATTTGAACCTCAGACCTCTTATATGGTGATCTGACAACCTAACTACTACACTAAGATCATTAGACCTTAACAAAAATTTTGATAATATTAATATTTACCAAAAAATTTTACTATTTATTCTATGAGGCTGTTTTATTGATCCTCTAAATATTGTAATTTTAAAGGCTAGTAGTATATCTAATAATGATAAAGGAATTTTTGAGTCTTATAAAATATATAGTGAAGATATAGAATTAACAAAATTTAAATATTTTGATAAACAAACAAATCAAATTTCATATGAAAAATATTTAGATTTAGTATCAGATGAATTAATTTTTTATAGAATATATAATTACAAAAATGATATTAACCTATTTATACGAATAATATTAGGATTATAGTATACAAATAAAGATATAATGAGTGTAATTATTAATATATATTCAGAATATGATATATTTAATTTTGCTACAGCTTTAAGAGTTAAATATTTAGGTAACTTTTAAAAAGTTGTAGAATATAGAACTATTTCATTAACTTTAGATTTATTATGGACAGTTATTAGAATTTCTCTTCATTTATATGCTGCTAAAAAACAATTTAAAATTGATTATTTATTAGATAGATAGTCTAATGATTATTGTTCTGTATAAGTATTATTTAGAAATAAATAGAAATTTGGAAGGCTCATAAAATAGGTATTTGTAAAAGCAATTTTGATATATAAATATATTTTTAAAAGCATTTGTACTATTATTCCTCGTAGCAGGAAAACTTAATTATGCATCTTCAGTTTGTAGATTTTTAGCAGAAATAAATAATGATCTATAATTAGAAAGATTATTACGATATACTGCCTCAGTAAATATTTTATATGAAGATCATTTTTTTGGAATTGATAAAGCTTTGGAAGTATATAGAGTTAAATATATAAAACAATCTTTAACATGACATCCACTTGATAATGAAATATTAAAATTGCAAACTGAAAATTTTCAGATTAAACAATTAATTGATGAATTTTTAAATCAAAAAAAATTAAAAAAAGAGTTAAATCATATTATTATTTTATTAAAAGAAAAAATATAGAAACTAGTATTAGAATTGTTAAATTTATTTGAAAATCCTAATCAAACAACTCATGAATTGTTACAATTTTCTCTAGAGCTCAATTCGTTTGGATATAATCTTTTGTTTACTGCATATGAAAAAGGGAAAATTTGAATGAAAAATCTTTTAAAACAAGAAGTTTATAGTACAGAATTACATAATACAAATAGAAGAAGAGATCGTAAAGTAAATATATATATACTTACAAATACAAGAACTATTTACTAAAAAATCTAAAAAAGTCAAACAAAAATTATCAAAACTTAATCCTATACTAATTTTTGAACTAATTATTGCTACATTTAGTTTAAATAGCAAATTTATTTTAAATAACTTAGCTAATTCTTAAATATTATCACAAAATACAAATACTAGTAAAAAAAGAAAGCTTGAATTAATATAATTAGAAACTCATATAAAGAAAAAACTACATAGGACTGTAAGTGATTTAGAAAAAAGTACTTTAGATTTATTAGCTATAAAATTTTTAAATTCTACATCTACTAATATTGCTATTAATGAAACTTTGGCTCAATTAAATAAAATATAAGATTGAAAATCAGTTTTGTAATATATTAGAAATGTATGAAAAAGAATTAAAGGAAAAAATATAGTACAGAATATTGAATATAAATAAGTTTATTTTTGTGTAATTAAATAGTTTTGTTTAATCTTTGTTTTTGGTTTTAATTATTTTACTAAATAAAAATTTTTATAAAATAAACATAAAGTTATTTAAATATATTCATTTTATCTATAATATCAATTCTAATCTAAGGTTGCTGACTATAATTACAGACATTATCATTATGAGTTACAATCTAGGTTGTAATCCTAATTACAACTAATATACAAAGTTGCAAATACTTACTACAATATACTTACCTTTGACTCTATATACTATAATCAGTATGATTATTATCTTGAATTAGAATACTATTTCTATTAGCGAAACCCCTCCACAACTCAGACATACTCTGAACCAAGAAGTCTCCAAACATTAGTTAATACACCATTAACATTTGAAAACCTTATTATATCTCTTCTACTTCTTAATTTACTACTACCTATTGCTATTGCAGCAATGACTGACTTTGCTAATACTTTAGGACAAGGATCTGAGAAGAGTCTTATCAAAGTTGAATACTTCTCAAGAGATAGAACTCAAGACCTAGAAAAATAGTTCAAAGAATTCAGAAGAGCTGCTACTACCAACAGATAGAAAAATAATAGAAAACTTGAACTTGTCTTTGTCTTTCTCAAAGGAGTTGCTCTTGATTAGTTCACTACTCTTAACCTAGCTCCTAATATTTTTGATGATAATACTTATTGAGATCAGAGTTTTAAATATCTCTTTAGAGATAGATTCTAAACTTCTAAACAAAAAGCTATCTAGTAAAAACAATTCTTCGAGATTAAACAAAGCAATGATACTATAAATGCATATATGAATAGGTTTAGAGAATTAAAAAAGAAAATTGACAGAACAAATACTTTCCTTGTTGCTTTTGTTATCTAACTTTTATCCAAAGCCTATATCTAGAATATGCTATTAATGTACAAGCCTCAGAGCCTGCTACCTTAAATGCTACTATAACTAGTACTAAAAGATAGAAAACTAGATATATAATAGCATTAAGCAAGAATACTGAAACAGACCAAGCTATTAAGACTTTAACTGAACAAATTGCTCAACTAAGTATCAACCTTGTACAAAAACAACCTATTGTCAAAGAGATCAACTATGTTGAATTCTCTAAACTTTCTAGACCTCAAGCTACTTGCTATTACTATAGTAAAAATAGTCACTTTATTGCTCAATACCAAACAAAAAGGAATAACTAATGAAAAGGAAATAGAAATCAAAAATATAGTCATGATAACAACCAAAGATATTACTCAAACAATAACTCAAGAGAAAGAGCCTT